GAGATTAAAATAAATAAATCTTTTTTTCCTTCCCCTTAGTCTCTCCAAAGCTTACCATATTCTCATTCTTGCTCTTTTAAATTCATGGTCTCTTTTTTTTTATTCATTGTTATTGCATGCATGTAGGTATGTACTCCTAAAGAGAATCTGTTCAATAGGTAATCTTATTTGTGTTTTTAGAGATGACAGTGTGCCATTGAATAACCAATGGTCTTTTTCCTTGGGGCAAACTATTTCTCCCACTCTCAGTATTTCTTAGTTGCCTATAGTTCTTTGTGGAGGGTTAAGGCCTTGTGGGTTCCACAGGACTTCACCCCCACCCCAACTCCATCTAGTTTGGCCTGTCTATTGCTATCATCTTTGTTAACATTTTAAGCATTAAAAACTGTAAAAAGCCCGTTTAACTTCAAATGAAATGCAGAAGCCCAGTTCACTTATCATGGTAATCTGTGAGAAGATGGTTATTGTAGAATGCAAGGTTCTTCAGTCTTTCTATGAGATATGGATCTCAACTTGTTAATTTGTGGATATTTGTTCTTCTAGGACAGGCAGAAATTGAAATGTTATCAGTAAATGAGGGTAGGAATAGTTCAAGTACTTGTATTTCATTTATTCATTAACCGGCAACATAAATTTTACCTTTACAAACAAACCAACATAGAATCCTGTGATTCGGAGGATCTTCATTTTCCACTCTCTGAACCTGTCTATGTCCTGCAAGAGAGACAGGCATTAATCCTATCTCACACATTGATGGTGAGGGCCTGGACTGGGAGAGCTTGAGGCAGTGTCTTAAAGGTGTGGCTTGGCTTAAAAACAAATAAAGCAAGCCACAAATTTGACAGGAAGATCTTTTATGTTCTACTTCAATTCCAGCACTACTACACACATACACACTCACACACACTCACACACACACACTCACACACTCACATAGTTTGAAGTAAAAGCACTTGTGTACTTTATGCTGTTTCTGTGTCTAAGGCTCCAGATGCAGCTCAGTTGGCTGCCTCAGTCTCAAGGTCTCCTCAAATCTTAATGAGGAAGGACTTGCTTTCAAGGTCACACATAGTTCTTGTCAGCACTTAATTTCTCTAGGGCTATTGAGCTGGAGACAGCAGTTCCTTGCTGGTCACAACTAGAGGCATCCCTCTTCTGTTCTTGCCTTGTTTACTTTTTCATAGGCAAGCTTACAACAAAGCAGCTGACTTCTAGAACAAGATGGGGGTGAGGAAGAAAGAACAAGAAAGAAAGAGTAAGGAAGAGAGGGAGCACTCAAAAGGAAGAAAAACAGATGCAACAAGGACAATAATGTGGGTTTTTAACCACAATCTCATATGTGACACATGGTCATGTTGGCTGTGATCTATATTATTAGAACTCAATAACAAGGCTCGACACACACTCAAGGCAAGGGAACACTGCAAGGGCATGAAGACCAGAAGCCAACCCAGTACCTACCAAGCACATCATTCAAATCAGAAGTTAATGTAAATTCATCTACTTATACCTCTTCTCCATATGTAACCTAGGCAACAACTCTTTCTACTGAATCTATAACAGTCACGAAGCACTTTTAAAATGTTCAACATCCTTAGTCATCAAAGAAACACTAATCAAAATGACTCTGAGGTTACATCTTACACCCATCAGAATGGCAAAGACCAAAAACACAAGTAGCAGTACATGCTGGCAAGGATGTAGAGCAAGAACACTCCTCCATTGCTGATGGGATTGAAAACTGGTACAACCACTCTGGAAAATTATCAGGCAGTTCTTCAGAGAATTGGAAATAGTTCTACCTGAAGATCTAGCTATACCACTCTTGGACATATACTCAAAAGACACTCTACCACACCACAAGGACATGTGTTCCACCATGTTCATAGCAGCTTTATTTATAATAGCCAGAAGCTGGAAACAACCAAGATGTCCCTCAATAAAAGAATGGATACAGAAAATATGGTTCATTTACACAATGGAATACTATTTAGCTATTAAATACAAAGACATCATGAAATTTTCAGGAAAATGAATGGAACTAGAAAAAATCATCCTGAGTGAAGTCACTCAGACCCAAAAGGACATACATGGTGTGTACTCAATTATAATTGGACATTAGCCATAAAGTACAGGATAACTATGCTATACTCAACAGACCCAAAGAAACAAAGTAATAAGGAGAGTCCAAGGGAGAATGTGTGAATTTCACTCAGAAGGGGAGATAATAAAGGTATGGGAGATAGAGGGAGGGAGGGAGGGAGGGAGGGAGCTATGTGGGAGAGGGGGTGAGGAGGGGAATGGGAATGTGGATCAAGTATTGGGAGGAGGCTGGAGAGGGCTTGGAGAGAGAACAGAAATTGGTGGGGAGCACATCTAGGACTAGTGGGAGACCTGGGATGGGGTAGGTTCCTAAGAGTCTATGGGAGTGACCCTAGTTTAGACTCCTAGTAGCTGGGGATATGGAGACAGAAGTGGTCACTCCCTGGAGCCAAATACAACTTCCAGTGGAGAGAGGTATACTGGCTGCTTTTATGTGTCAACTTGATATAAGCTGGAGTTATCACAGGGAAAGGAGCTTCAGTTGAGGAAATGCTTCAGGAGCTTGGATTTTGCCTATATATGGTCAAAAGCTGAGCCAATGGGTGGATACTCTTGAGTGGATTGCCACAAATGCAGAGGTGATGGGTGATAATTAGCCCAGACTTGCCAGCAGAATTGAGGCAAGGAGAGCTGCTGGGTTTCTCTCAGCTTGTGTGAGACTGAGCAGGGGTTCCAACCGAAGAATAGCTAGTGATAAACTTGAAGAGGAAGAGGAATAAGAAGAGGAGAAAGAGGAGGCAAGGTTTAAAGGGGAGGGATGGAGGAGGAGAGAGAGAGAGAAATTGAAAAAGAAGGAGACTTACTTAAAGGACAGTATTCACAATTTTAGAGACAAATTTAGATGAATATATGTAGTCTCCAAATATAGTGAATAAAATAGAAATTGAACTCCAGAGTGTTCCCTAGCATTTTTTCCATTAAAGGAAATTAGGAGGAAATATTAATAATTTTAAAAATTCAAAATTTACACAGTAGTTATCATTACAGAGATTGGAATGTTGGCATAATGTTAATGTGCATTGTGTAAAGAGTATTTTTGTGTTATTCAAATGCTGATTCCTATGCCTCTATATCTGGTTGCAATTGTATTGCTTATTGTAAGAAGCTGTCACAATGTTGTGTAAACATTACTCACACTTATCTTTCATTGGTCAATAAAAATCTGGTCAGCCAATGACTAGGCAGAGGAGATAATAGGACAGGACTTATGATACCAGCCAGGTAATGGATAGTGAGAGGGAAGAAGAAAAAATTTGTCACAAGCTGGGAAAACAAACAGTACCATGAGAACACACATAGAGCAGAGAGAGCCAGATCAATACTAAAATGCAAGGATCTCAGGGGTTTTCAAAGGAAACTAGCTAGATTATTTTAGAGGATTAGAGTAGATTGGTTTTTGTTTGTTTGTTTGTTTTTGTTTTTCGAGACAGGGTTTTTCTGTGTAGCCCTGGCTGTCCTGGAACTCACTCTGTAGACCAGGCTGGCCTGGAACTCAGAAATCTGCCTGCCTCTGCCTCCCAAGTGCTGGGATTAAAGGTGTGCGCCACCACCACCCGGCCCTAGGGTAGAATGTTATCTGCTCAGTTATTGTGCCTTAAAGCTTGTTAAGTAAGTCTAATAATCTCTGTCTTAATTATGTGGAAGATATCTGGGTTAGAGAAAAAACTGCCATTATTAAATTTGCACTAATACTGGAATGTTCTCAATTTTGGACTTCTTTTGCTGTGGCTTCAACCCTTTCCAGAGGCACAATGTTAAAGATTGCTAACAATCTGGAAACTATATCTAGTGAAAAGTCCAGAGTAAGACACAGAGGTAACATGGGATGTCTTGGTAAATAGTAATAACACTATATATCTCTATTAATACCAAAGCTCAGGGAACATCCTGGAAGAAGGGGCAGAAAGAACATAAAAACAACAGGATGGAGAGGAAGGCTGTGAAACACGTGTCTTCTGGGTATGTCATGACATGGCTATGGCTCTCATGAACTCAGAGAGCTGTGGTTACCTACACAAGAGCTGAACAAGATCAAGCCTGTCACAGTCCAGCATGTAGAGCTCCCACTCCTACCTGAGAAGCTATTGTCAGCTGATGGCTGCTAGGGCAGACAGAGACATGTTTCTTAATTGGTATAGCCACTGGTAAGTTCCCCATGGTCCAGTAAATAACTACACCCACATTCCTACAGGCAATAGTAACTAAAATTAATAACACACACACACACACTGAACATAGGAAATGAAATTCAATGGGAATAAGGAGTTTAAAGTGAGTGGAGGAATAAAAGAGGGTAATGTGATTGAATATGATCAAAATAGACTATAGGCATGTATAAAATCAGTAAAGAATAAAATTTTTAAAAGTTTTCAGGGTCTAAAGAGACAGCTTAGAGGTTAAAAGCATTTTCTGCTCCTTCAATTTTCAGTACACACATGGTAGCTTACAATATAACTCCAGTTGAAGTGCCTCCAGAACTTGGTGAAGCATGTACATGGTATACAGATGTTTGTGCAAACAAAACACACATACACGTTGAATAAATGTTAAGTAGTACATTGGCAACCCACTTGTCTAAATCTTTCCCTAAGTACCTTTCTGTCTATATTTAATAAACTTCAACCTTGCATCAAAAAGAGAGAGGGGGGATAGAGAACTATTTTTCATTTAATGTATTTCTTTATCCTCACAATTAATTCAGAGCTTAAATCTTTGGAACATTTTCATTCCCAAAATGACTAACCTGAGTCTGAGGAAAGAAAACTGGCCTTTAAAACAAAATTAACAGTATAAAACATCTTTAAAACACTTGCAAACCAAAGACATATCAAGCCCCCCTTCCTCATATTGCATATATTCAATTCAGGATTTCGGCCCAAGTTATTGGAGAAAATGATTTAGAGTGTCTCTTGTGTTTGGATCAAAGCCAGTTTCATTATCACTCTCCTCAAAGCATCCTTGAGTTCTCTGTTCCTCATGCTGTAGATCAGAGGATTCAGCATAGGAGTGATAAAGGTGTAAACCACAGATACCACCTGACCCTGCTCAGGAGAGTAGCTGGAGCTGGGACACAAGTAGATGAGACTTGTGCATCCATACTGCAGGAGGACAACTGTCAGGTGGGAAGAACAGGTAGAGAAGGCTTTGTGCCTCCCCTCAGCTGAGCGTATCTTCAGGATGGCATCCACAATGAAGACATAGGAGAGGGTGATGAGGAGGAAAGGGATGGTGAGGACAATGACACTGACCACAAACAGAGTGGCTTCATGGACATGGGTGTCTGCACACGCCAGTCTCATGACAGGGAGGACGTCACAGTAGAACAAGCTGATTTCCTTACTGCTACAGAAAGGCAGTTGGAAGATGAGCACAGTCAACTGCATGG